GAGTGAAAGAGAAATGAATGGAGAGTAATTGTATGATAAGGTAAAAATGAAAGATCAAATGATGGAAAAATAAAAGTATGAAGTGATCATATGCAAGCATATGTGCAGACATGATAAGTCTAAGAGTAATGGAAAGTAAACTTCTAGCTAACATATACGGTCTACTACTATGCAAAATAAATACTGAAATGCGATTTCATCTACACTATTCAAGTAATAAAGGAAAAGAGAAATGTTAAGAAAAACCACTGGTATCGAAATAATGAAAATTCCTAAATCGCGAACCATCTAAAATAGTTGATTCGGTTATGTTCTGTAATGCTGAATTCCTCGATCCATCTGACCTTATTGCACCAATCACATGTACATCTGCCAACCATATGAATATTTTGAGTGGTTATATATATTGATTATGTGTCCCAAGTGTTGGGAAACATGCTGGATGACTGTGGAATCTCTGCAACATGATTTTTGCTTGGCTTCATACTTCTTTTCTTGAATTGAGGCATGACTAAGGGTGTTCTTTGGTTTCAAACCGATATGGAGGGACTATAGGGATGTTGGAGAATGAGTGGAGAGGCTTTGGGATGTGGGTAATGRCTGTGGGAATTGAGCTCTCTCCCTGAGCTAGCTTGTGTCTAGGTTAGATTGTGTGTCTAGGATGTGAGAAAGAGTTGGTATTTATAGATTTTTGGGGAAGATTTTAGAAGGGAATGAAGGGCTGAGAATGGAAGACTAGGAAGATCAATGGATGAGGTTTAAAGGGTTTTTGGAGGGAGATTGATTGAGAGAATGGGCTGTCAAGACAGCTTTGGGAGAGATCATTTCAATCAATCAAAACTAAGAGTGGAAGATTTCACCAATTACCTAAATCTGACATTCCAAGTTTAGGTGATTGGCTTGATTGATTGGAGGCTCCTAGCTGGACAAATCTTGGATTTCTAAGATGCTTCTAGAGGCTGAGAGGAAGTTTTGGTCGTGGGATGCCCTAAGGTCAAAGTGGTTATGAAGAGGATTCCAAACAGAGGGCCCAGATCGAGTCTAGCTTCAAGTCTTAAGATGGAGGGGTTAACAGTGTCGGAATTGGATGATCTTGGTATCGTGGGACTTGGAATTTCGAGCTCAATCCATCCAAAGAGTTGGATTTCAGATTTTCTGGGGGATAGGATTTAGGATCAGAGATGATCCCAATCGGACAATCGGAATCGGTTCCAGTTTTGGGTCTTGAGATGAAGGGGTAAACGATGTCGGATTTGGGTGATCTTGGTGTCGTTGGATTTGGATTTTCAGACTCTACATACCTATGATGTTGGATTTATAATTTGATGTGAAATGAGATTTAGGATCAAAATGACTCAGATAAGACGATCAAAATCGGTTCTAATTTCGGGTCTTAGGACGACAGGGTAAATGGTGTTGGACTCGGGTGATCTTAGTGTCGTTGGATTTGGGTTTTTGGGCTCTACATACCTATGGTCTCGGATTTTGGATTTGATGTGAAATAAAGTTCATGATCAAAATGACTCTGATCGTATGATCGGAATCAGTTTTGGCTTTGGGTCTTAGGATAAAGGGGTAAACAGTATCAGATTTGGGTGACCTTGCTATCATTGGATTTGGATTTTTGGGTTACGTACTTTGGGTCTTGGATCCTTGAGGCCCCAACTTTTATTAAATTCCAAAAATACCCCTGAATTGACTAAGAAGTTAGCTGAAACATACTTGAAACTCAAAGTGTTAAAAAAACTGAAAAGCGCAGAAATGGAGTATCTACAGGTTTGTTGAAGCTTTGCCTAGATGGATATCAGATCAAGTGTGTGTTGATCTCTCTAATTAAGTGTAGTAGTGGTAGTTCTTTTGTGATTTTTTTTCTATTTTTTTCCTTTCTGTGTTTCTTTTTTCAAGTTCTTTTTCTTGATTCTATTGGTCTCCTTTAGGTGATCCTTGCTTTGTTCTTTTGCTTTAGCGTAGTCTGTTTAGTCTCTCGCTCAAAATGTTTTATCACCCCATTACATGGAATGACACACTTCCTTGSATGTATCACTTGGCTTTGTTTTTAAGATGTAATCCATGTAAAAATGAAATTGCATTGGATAACAATTTTACCTTCAACTCAAGAAAATAGTTTTTAATTAGTCGGGACCCAACATACCTACTGGCTTCTAGTTCTTATGTTGTGATCGTCTGATCCAATCCGTGCCATACAACATTGCTATGGGCTTTGAAAGAAAACAAAATCTCTATGTTTAGGCAAAATTTTCGATAGGGTTTTAATGTTTAGGCAAAATTTTAGATAGGGTATTAATGTTTAGGCAAAATTTTAGATAGGGTATTAATATTTAGGCAAAATTTATGTTATATATAAAAGTGTGAATGTAGTGTGAAATGTTTTTTGAAGTAAAATTATCCTCTATTTCTTTGTTTGAGAACGAGTGAATGTAGGGTATTAATGACCATATTTGTATATTTAATCCATCTCTAATTGTAAATGTTGAAAATGTAACTTCAATTATTACTTTCCACCTCATTTAATCCCCTCTCATTAAGTCTTATATTTAAGGTATTAAATCTCATTTTCTCTTATTAAATCCTCTATTCTTAAGTTATTTTTCACTAATAAATGCTACTAATTAGATCTATGTCGATATTTTTAACAATATAAATTCATATATATTTTAAAACTGACTCAAAAACAAAACCGTTCTTTATCCAAGTGGTGTCTAAGCAATTTAACCATGAAAATCAAATTGATCAACCTATAAAGTCAAAGTTAGGTAATAAAATTGTTAAAATAGAAATAACTATTGAAATTACAAAAATGTATAAAAAATTTGGCACATTTATGATATTTTTATTAATCAAATTAGAAAAAATAAGTGTAATAAACAAGATTTGTTTTTATTCATAATGAAAACAAAATACATAATTTAGAATTGACCAAAATGAAATATAAAAATTAATTATAAAAAGTTCAACTTTTGAGTCAAATGTATTAACCTTTAATGTTATAAATAAATAATAAAAATTAATAAAATATAAAAATACATAAATTTTGCAAAAAAAAAAGAAACATTCAAGCACATGTATAATATCATGTATTTATCGTATTAAACAAAATGTAAGTGTGACATATCAAAATTATTTTTACACACAAAAATACCAAAAATTGAACACATCTATAATTCTRTATTTACATTACAATTAAAAATATGAATAAGATTGTTGAATTTTCTTTTGACTAAATCAAGGTTTTAAAAACTGACATAGAAACGGAACCGCTTTGGCTACCAGTTTCTAGGTTAGGGGTTCAACCGTCCAATTTAAGCATGTCAAATTGGTAATATGTCAAATATAATATAACTTTTTATTTTAACAGTTAGATTAGGATTAGGATAAAGCCCACCATATATATGCATTATTATGAGAGAGGAGTATAAGACTTCGAGAAGGAGGTGACTGGTTAAAGCTGAGAAGTTAAAAAAAAAGAGAGAGAAGAAGAATAGAAGGAAGCGTCGCCAGAGGTGATTGTCACCATGTTCACCGATCATTGTTGCATAACCATTTTGCCTTGAAGTAAAGAAGAAGAAGAAGAAGCCATTGGCAACTATCTCCATGTTCATCATCACTGCCACTAGAACACCATTTGCCTTCTTCTTACATCTTTCTCATCTCTCTAAATCTCTCTCAAATCCCATATCGTTTGCTTCATTAGTGACTTGGTGTATCTCAAATTTTAATATAAGTTTGGTGTTTAATCTCTCATCTTTTGCATCAATTTTTCAATTACTTCATTAGAGTTATATTATTTTTGCTGTTACAACTTAAAAAGAATCACAGAAATGAGAAAGCTCAAAATAAAAATAAAAAACTAAAAAACCTAACTAATTTTGGCCATTGGGAATAATTGTACAAGATTATGAGATATGCAAGTTTTTTTTTTCATTTTTTATTTTTAAAATTTTATTTTAAAATAAATAAAAAATCTAGAATTAGTTTGAAAGCAACCCGAGAACCGTTAAATTGGTCAAATATTTTAACGGTTAAACTGTCTAGGTCAATTTTTCTTTGACCATTTCAATAGTTTTTTTTTTGGGTAAAATAGCAGTTCAGGGCCAAACCGGAACCAATGACTTGATTGGTTCCCAGACCAAAATGGTTCAACCATTTGGTTTGATCTGGTTTTTAAAGTAGTGACTAAAATACTCAATTTTGAATTTAGTCCCTATTTAATTGTAAAGTTTAAATTATAAATTGAACTACTACTTTTTGCCTCATTTCCTTTATTTGAATCTTACATTTTTTTAATAAATGAACAAAGAAAGAAAATGCCAAAAAGATAAAACAATACAAAAAGAAGAGTCTAGCCAAGCAAGATGGTATGCCAATGATACTTGAAACTTCACAATTCGATTTGATTATTACATATTTGGATGATGTGTTTATGCTAGATTTGAATTTTGCAATATGCATCTGATTAATAATAAAAAACAAAAAAATATATAAAGCAAAAAATAAAAAATACATAAATTTTATTAAAAAATTTGGATATATTTTTATTATAATTATCATCATCTAGAATTGGCACGTGCACAATTACTAGTTTATTGAAATGTGGAGTAATGATAAAGTGAAATAGGATAGTTGACATTTTTGAAGATGTTGAAGCCTTTAACATAAATGTTACCATACCATATAAAATATATGTAACATCTTTAATGTAATTCTTTTTTTGTGTTTTATTATGGAAGTTCTGCATAGTAGTTGGACTTTTAAATGTTTAAAGAGTTTAAATTGTTCTCATATTTTTTTCTCATCGAATGACTTTAGGGGGTAGTAAAAAAAATTGACTCTTCATAGGTAAGTGCTGGTACATTATTTAGAGATGCCAACAAATAAAAAAAAAAAAGAGTGCACCCAACAAATTTCCAAGAGCAGCCAGTCTTTCCATGCCTTGAGAAGAAAATGATGTAGTAAAAAAAAAAAAAACAAATAAAATGCACCCAACAAATTTCTGAGAGCAGCCACTCTTTCCATGCCTTGAGAAACAATTGATGTAGTAACAATTCGGTGTCTAACATATAACTTTGTTGAAGGTGAGTCATTTGCACGTCCTACAATGAATCACAAAGTAGAAAAATAAGGAAGCTTTTAAACATACATAAAAAAAGTAGAACAAAAAACAAATTCATTTCCTCCTAATTATCTTTCCATTCATAAAATATGAATTATGTAAGCCAAGAGAAGCTTCCATGTTGGACGTTTATTCTTTCATAACATAAAGCTGATATATAAACTCTATTACAATTACTGGTTTAAAATTTCAACAACCCACATTTAGCGTCTATTTGGCATTCTTGCCATTGCTCCAGAAAATAGTGACATATCAGTATTACATCGGAAAAAATGGTACTCTAAGCCATGTCTTGTGGCTTGGAGCAATGCCRAATTTAGTGTTTCTTGGAGCAGCAGTTCGTTGTTGCCAATAGGGACATGACGTGGCAGTGGATAATAAGTACCAATGCTACAATGCTTCCTGAAGCATTGGTACCAAACAGAAAACGTTGCTGTTGCTTCAGAAAACATCCTATCTAACAGCAATATTTTCAAACAAAAAAAGATACCGTTTTATTGAAAAACGGTACTTCCAACCCATACATCACCGGTGCTGTATCTACAACATAGATGCCAAACATATACTTAAACGAACAGAATCTATATCTGAAATCTGAATTGTATGTTTTTTTATGAAATATGATATCAAATCAATATAGGAAAACGTTTTTCAACCCGAAAATTCAATAATGTGCTTCTGGTATCAGTTTTAGGAAAGAAGAAATACATTACACAGCTAGGCCTGCTCACGGGCCAGGCTTCAGGTTTGGATCATAAACATTTTACACTACTTAGAGATCGGACTTCAAACCAAGCGCATTCAATTTTTGGCAAAACCTAAATCAAGCCCGGCCCATAAACAGATCTATACACAACCTAGAATCACGTTTTTATTTTTCTCTTTTAACAACCAATTTTATATGAAACCAAGTATTAGACCATTATTTTTTTTTGAATTCACAAATAAAACATCAGGTTGGAAAACATCCCTTTAATCAACTTCTTTTCCATGCTTCACAAATCAATTTGCAATTAAACATTAAATGTTATATATATATTTTACGAGATAAAGACAAGAAAAGAATTGTCATTTAACTAAAATGGGCAGAAATGTTACCTTTACAAAGTTGGCTCCCGACGAGAGGCATATACTGAAATTGGTTTTATATTTTCGATCTTTCCGCTTGGGTTGACAGTTGAGTATTATTCTTTGAAGGTTGAGTATTATTCTTCTTTGATGGTGGATGGAATGATTTAATGCTGGATGGTAAAAAAAAAAAAAAAAAATAGAAACACAATGATCACTAATGTATGATGTATTAAACAAATAAATTAATGAACAAAGAATTAATGGAAATTCTAACACTGTACCTGCAATTCTGTGGGACACTCCATGACATTTTCGATCCGTTCACACTTGCAGGAGAAGATAAAAATTTTTTCCAGTCGTCAAGCATAACTCTCAGATCATGGAGCTTGCTATCGAGACCAAAACAACAATTTGCATGCATTGTACAAACTCTATTCAAATCTCTGCTGGGTTCACAAAACCCACCAAAATAAGCAGTATCCAAAAACCTAATCTTCAATCCAATATTTTTGATGTATGGGTCATGCTTAATCTTGTTTAACACATCTTGATCATGTTTTCTAGGATATTTCTCTCTGGAGGAGTACCAAAATTTGTAGAATTCTATGGTCCTGTTATTGGACTTGACATACATAAATCCTGTATTTGGACCATTGTTTAAATTAGTGGAGTTGCCTGTAAAGTGATCGCAAGCTACTTGAAAATCAGCATCCAAATAGAATTGTGGGAATGGGTTTCGGAACCACATTATATCACCATCCTGAAAGACAAATCAACCACAAAGAATTGAATTATAAGGATGGAGAACTTCGCTAATAAAGCAAAACTATAGTTCATATGCATGAAATGACCTGTGGATGAAAATATGATGAGGGCCAGTTACGTAAAATCTCAGGAGAATGCAGGTTTGGAAAGAATACAAATACATATATACAAAATACAAGGTTTTACAATTTTTTCTACTCCTTCCAAACTGAGCCCTAGGACCGTATCCAATTTACCCCTCCCAAGACAACCATGTTAGACAAACCTAGAATTCAATCTATCATGTTGCGCTGCTTAACTCAATATAAATACAGTATTATTATAGATTCTTTCCAACATTTTTACCCTTTGCTGATCCATAAATAAAAAAAAAATGTTGCCATTTAAGTAAATACTGTATTAAATATACTATTTTGTTTATTTGTATAGCAATGGAGTCAAGTGCCCAAGCATACTAAATTTCCGAGTCGATATAGATTGGCTTACCTAGTTTGACCAAAAAAAAAGTTATTTATTTAGAATGGTGAAATGTGAATCAGTGATGTAAAGATGGATGAAGAGCCTCCAATTAATTAACCATAAGGAGAACCAAATTCGTAAAACAAAACCAAACATGGGTAATAAGCAAGGAACAGAAGGGAGTGTAGGTACCGAGAAAATGAAGTTGTATCCCATCTCAAGAACTGATCGTAGAAAATCAATTTTTCTCAACACCATTTTCAAGTAATCACTTGTCATGAAATATGCTTCTGATCCTGAGAAATCTACTCCTTCAGTGACAAGAGCAAAACAATAGGTATGAACAGCTAGACAACGAATGTATGCCTTTTGGTCTAAGGCAACAATTATCAAATGGTTCAATAGCCAACTGGTATTATTTCCAATTCGGAAGCTCTCAATAAAGAGATCGATAATAGAGCCAGGTGACGCCCAAGCTTCATTTAAGGGAGCTAAGATTACAGTTTTATCCTCCATAGCTGCCTTCTTCAAGATACCTTCTAGGCTCAATTCCTTGGTATCCTACAAAAGTAACCGACTTTATTAATTAGGACAAGGAAATAAGTCAAAGAAATCAATATGGCGAAACAAAATAGTGTAGCTAATATATCCAGAACAGATCAGATAATCACCCATGTCAAGAAATTAATTAATTAACCAGACACTGACATACACAATATTGCTCTTTGATATTTCCAGATCCTATCAGAGAGAGAGAAGAGAGAGAGAGAGAGAGAGAGAGAACTTTAAGTTCAGACATTTACAGGAAATCGCTTAATTAGGTAGCTGGTTTGAGATTAGTTTGTGATTGGAGCTGATACTATAAGTTAAGACATTTACAGGAGATTTAAATCTCTAACACTTCATTATGTGACGCGTGTTCGTTTCCATGGTGGGTGATAACATCCACCATGGAAAAACGGAAGTACCTACTTCCATGAAGGAGCTAAATAAGGTTCATAGACAAAAATTTGGCCATCTGCATTCGACAGCATGGGCTATGGACGGAGGTTTTTCGTTGTCAACTCGACTGGATCAGGACTAATTCCATAGCGCTCGGCGGTGGTTGTATGGACTAATTAACTTGTTATGACACGTGAGGAGAAAGCCTGTGTACATGTTCGATCATCCATCACAGGTAGTAGTTACACCAAGTCCAATTTTAGACTACGAACTAATCGATGGCCCAGCCCAGCCCAGCCCTGCTAAACGGAATCGGTTAGATCGATCTGTTGTATACATTAAGGCGCGAAGCCTCCAAATGCGAACTGAGAAACAAGGAAATGTCAAGAAGCTGATAGACGCTTCCGGTGCCGGAAAGGATAAAAGTTTATAACCGAAGCATCTGCGATATACCGTAAGTTCATCACCTCCCGATAAACACAATAGTTCCGGTCTCCATGATTTACAGATATTTCAAATTGACTAACTAAAGATACTAATCAAGTCGATCGCTAAAAAGAATAATCACACTGATCAAGATATGGATGATGTACAAGAAACAAAGAAAGACTCACCGGTTGTGATTTGTTAACAGCATCGGAGGAGAAAATTTGGTTGACAGTGGAAGAAGAGCGACCGAAAGGCCGAGGTAAAATTAGATAGGAATAGGTCTGAGTATCGTAGATAATATGACAAGAGAATGCAACTACAGCAAAGATGATCAAGAGCGTAAGAATCCGGCGGACAGGAGAGTCGGAATCCGGTAACATTTCAGAGGAGTTTCCACGGGAAGAAGCAGCAGAACCGATCATTTTCATCGGCATAGTCGGTCGGTATTGGTTGTTCGCCTTTTATATAAGGTCTTGCTTCTGTATCAAATTTCTTCTGGCTTTTAAAAATCGAGGGCGGCTATTAGACGGCAATTTTGAAATAGAGAATACCACTGAATCACGTTCGGTTTCTTCGTCCATCCGATTCCGATCTTCGCACTTTTCAACGCATCGGAAGTCTTCTGATGAAATTCGCAGTGAGAGAGATAGATAGTCATTAGTCATTACCACTTCTGCCGTGATTGTCATTTAGTTGTGACACGTGGCAAACTCAATGCCTCGGTCGTGACTGATAATTCCATCGGGACAGTTTCAGTTGTAGATCAAACGACTATTGGAAGAGGTGGGTTTCAACTTTCAAACACAACCGGTGCCAGTGTTCTCAAAGACGCCATGTATTCAACAAGCTTTATTACCCAATCAGTAGTGAACATGTTAGTTTACAAATTCTATGTACAGTGTGCTAACCGAAAGCATATTTTTATATGTTAAATATGATTTGATTAAAAGTAATAAAATGATTTAAAAAATTCAACATATAAATATAAGAAAAAAATTTTAATACATTAGTCACACTACTTCAACAAACTAAATAATAAATGTCATTAAACAAAAAAAAGATTTAAGTACAAAAGAAACCTATAAAAATATAATTCTAAAAGGAAAATTTGAAAGCATATAGAATCATTAASGTTAAGTTTGGTTTGAAGAAAAATGTAGAGATACTTATACAAAATTTGTCATGGTTTTCCTGTCTTTTCTTTCGTTTTCCTACCTTTTCTTTCAAACCAAACATAGCTTAAGTGAATTAAACAATTATAAGTAAGAAAATTAGAAAATTCATGCTTACCTTTCTCAATTTGTGATAAGTAAGTTTTGATTTTTAACTTCATAACGACTCTTACATTAGGCATTCTTATGTATAAAGTAAATGAGAGGGCTATTAATTGGAACAGTAGCTTTTGTCTTCTGTTTTTTATTTTCTTATCTAATGTTAAAACATAAGAATGTATTTGGTTTGAAAGAAAAAAAAGGTAGGAAAACCTAGTAGAGTTGTACACACATAAGGGATTTTTGTCTTTTATTTTTATTTTTTATCAAATAATTAAACCCCATGTTTATTGTCTCTTGAGGCTGGATAGGCAAACCTAGTATTTAAGATTTGAGTTAATAAATTGACCCCACCCTTAATTTTATTTGGAGAGTAGGGTTCAATATGGAAAAATAGCCCAAGATAATACCTATACTTAGAATTTTTGTTCAACTTCAACGAGGTACGTATAGATGCCACGAAACCTCTTACCCAACTGCTTCCTTATAAACTGTTGAATTTCCCGATTTTGTATGTTCTGTGCTCGTGTTGGCCATGACAAGGAAACTTGTCTATTAAAACATCGTGTTGAGACTGCTCTCCAAGAGTGTTCTCATGATGGATGATATTTGCCGGAAACTTGAGGCTTTATCGGTGGCAAAACTTGCTCATAGGCATGCAAGATCTCATGTTCATCAGCCTGTACATCGCCGAATTTGGACTGATGTTGCTGGTTCGTCCTCAACGGAAACCAAATGTTCCGATGACCGGCGTCAGTTTCAGTCAGTTCCAGTGGACGTACGGCGGAATTACTCCCGTCTTTGACGGAAGTGGTTCCGCCAAATCAGGCGAGCATTTACCACACTCTTCATCAGTTCATGATTCTGTTATTATAACTCCTGTAACTGATATTCCTGTCTCTTCACATGCAAGTGATGCTCCAAGGTCACAACAGGCTGAGGCCTGACGGTGTAATTCCTAGGGGTGTTAATGGACCGGTTTAGGTTGAATTCCRTCCAAATCAAAATCTATTTGGACGGACCAATAAGACATATTGAATTTGGACGGACCAACATGATATATTGAATTGGATCTGATCCGTCCATAATGAATTTATATTGGATTGAGCCAATATCTGGTCCATTGATAAAAGATAAGAACATAGGTGTCAATGGAYCAGGTTTGAGTTGAAACCAATCTAAATTAATAGGAATTTGAACAGATTGGACAGTCTCTGGACTGGTCCAAAATATTCATTGGACTGAATTGGACCAGGTACATTTGTAATGGACTCACATTCGACTGGACCGGATTGGCCCAAATCCAATCCAATTGACACCCCTAATGATACCCCGTGATCAACTATATCTACCATTGTTCATGATGCACCTTATACAAGCTCTACCACTGATTTCCCGTAACATATGATGGTAGATCAAAATCAAACTTGTGCCGAAAATGTGGAAGGTGGACCTACAGCTATCATTGGTGGTTGTATGTCCACCAAATCAGGCAAGTCTCATTTAGCCTCACCTCCCCTACATAATTTGAAGTCAACAGTGGGGACCCTATTATTGTGCTTAGTCCGGATGAACCGGAGAGCTGAACTACCTATCACAGTTGAACACACCAGTGCTCATGTGAGCTCATCTGAGACCCAGCTGTATTGAACACTGGCGTGTTCAACCGTGATAGATAATTCAACTGAGTGTGTATGTTTCCCCCGTAATATTATGGGTTTCTTCTGATGTAGGCATCACCGAATACTAATCTGGCTTTACGTTATATTGGAATCTTTGACATCGAATATGAAATTCTAATTCTTGATCAATACAATAATATTCCACTGTTTTGACCTACATAACTTGGCGAATACTTCTTTACTACAAACATTTTCAAATAAATAAATACATG